ATTTTTGAAACTTTATATAATTAACAGGTTTGATGATTGGTGTATTCGTTGACAGTGAGGTCAAAATATTTCTGACGATACTGATTGTATACTTCGAAAATGTTATTGTAACTGGTAACTGTTCGATGTACATAAATATTGTTCATTTAATAACCACTTAAATATTTTCAGGTCTTTTTTGGCCATTAGTTTCAACATCTGCTTTGAAGTTATTAGCATTGATATCACCGTTGTACCTTCCATTAAAAACGGCTGAAGAACAACTAATCAGTGGACGAAACGATGAATTCAAAATTATTTACGTCATCGTTTGTATTACTTTTTGGACAGTCCTCTCTTTTACAACTTTTATTGTAAAATTTAAAAACAAAATAAATTTCATTATTTAATAACTTATTAAAATTTTTCTTCTTTTTTTAAGAAAAAATGTTATTTTTTTTATACGCTCGAATAATTTTGAGTGCCTTGATGTTAATCTTTTAGTGGGTACGTTATTTATGTCGTTGTATACAGAAAGACTCACTGATCTATTGATTTTTTGTAACAATTTAATGGTTGCGAGATGCCTTTGAGCCACCAGTGGGTCTATATTCGAAAGGATTGGAAGCCACTGTAGGTAAGTAGTCCGGACACAAACTGTGACAATTCTCATAATATTATTCAGCTGAGTATCAACCTTTTTTTGTATGTACGCTTCATTAATTAATTACCTGTAAGATTTAAAGTTAAATATTTCACTGGTGAAGGAACTAATATTATAGAATCTTCTTGTTCTATGACTTTTTTCAGATTGAACGTTTTGTCAGGATGTACATTTCCAAGTTTAGTTTAGTTTTTATTTAGTTCGAACTAAATTATATTTTCATAGTAAATATTCAAAATACGATTTAAGTGAGTAATTCAAAAGCGTATAAAAGCAATTAATAGTCAAAATTCAAGAGATTAAATACCTAAACAGTACCTTAATTATGATTTCATTCCACAAATATTATTCAGCGATTGGGTACCGGCCATAATCAAGGAGTTGTAGGTAGGAAATTTCTGGTTTTTCACTGTTATGCATTGTCGTTGTGTGCGTAGTAAGTGTACATTAGTATGAATATTGTTATCTTACACCCTCCCGTCTGTACCCGCGGGCTATGGCCAGGCGGCCCGAACAATTCACCGATATCAATGAAAACATTAATATATTAAGGGGGCTGGAGCGTAGCATGTTTTAAAGAGTAATATTTAGGCATTTTATATCACATGAACATTTTGGCTGTGTCAATGTGTGAGTAGTAAATGAACATTAGTGTGGAATGTAGTGTACAAATGGAATATTTAATACCTTTTTTTTTCACCTGGGAAGGAGGAATTGCCCCTATTGCAGTGGTGATTATAAGGGGGGCAATAGGTGAATCACCTCCCTTAAAATTTGTTTTTTTATTAATTTATGATATCACTGGCCCAACAATACCTATCTACAAATTTTATTTGATTATTATAAGATGAATTTTATAAGTCAATACATTTATACCTATAATTTGTACGTATATTTTATGTTAAATGTGTATAATATATATATAAATGCTATGGGTTAGTGAAAGGGTTGGCTTTATTTTCACCCCCCCCTCCTCTTTGAACATGTATAACCGCCACTTCCCTATTGCCCCAAGATCCAAAGAACTTGGTCGATTTGAACAACGTTCCTAGTTCACAATGAGCAGGTATTTTGATATGCGTATTTTGTTTAAATTGACTCATAATTCGATGTTGTTAAGTATTTTATAACATATTTATTATATTAATTATTTATGTGCGTTTGTAACCGAAACATATGGAAAATTGTTTGTACAAAAAGGAAATGCGTATCGAGAAAATTCTAGAATCGTACATGTTTGGAACCAATGACGTTCTCGAATCTTCTGTGCGCTAATAAAAGCGCCGTGATCGTCGCCGGACGAGTCAGTGTTTTCACCGTATCTCTATGTGAATGTTTGTCGTATTCGTTTGAAATTTGACTGAGCATATTTTGCGTTCATCTCGACGAGTTCCGTTCTACGTTTTTCGTGTGTTCTCGCAATCTTCATTGACTACAATCCAAGGTAAGTGTCCACATTAAAACTCCGTCCAGCGCTTAAATTAACTTCTTTTGTTCACTTGATTTTGTTATAAAGTATCAATTAACTCTCGCCCATCTGACATTTCTCTACGCGATCGGCTAAGTATACTTCTTAATATTTTATTATGTCACATCAAAATTCAGTCTAATATCCACTTTACACGCCCCTCACGAATTTCATTTAATCATTTATTCAAAATACGTTTTTTTCAACGTTGATTGTGAAACGGAATTTTTTTTTAAGGAAACCAGCTTGGAAGTTATGACATTTTGAAATTACGTTTTTTGAGTAATTACATTGTATGACTACTATGAACATATTATTGTGTAATGAACGTATCGGTTCGGTGTTACGCTATTTTTTATTTACCTAGGGGTTTATGGTTCGACTCAGACGAAATGTAAAATCATTTTTTCATTTTTTTTTCTTGTATTTTCAATTATTAATAGTTTAAAATAAATATTTTTACTTATAATTGACCAAATGCGTTTATGTATTGCATTAAAATTACGTTACCTGAAAAACCTATTGCTCTTTCTTCGTATTTTTCACAGCGAATCGAAGGATGTATCAATTTAAAATTTATGATGAAATGAGTGTCGGTATTCAAAAGGTGCGATTTATTTATACATTATTTTCTTTCAGATGTCTCTTTTACCATTCTTATTGGATGAATTGTCTCGGCCAATCATGTACGATCAAAACTTTGGTCTCGGTTTACTGGATGATGATTTACTCGTAGGACCACATCAATATGGTCGTAGTCGTTGCCCAATTTTGTTGAAGTCTTACATAAGACCACATCGTTTAACTTCTGCTGCACAAAGTGGTTTATCTTCCGTGCAAAATGACAAAAACAATTTTAAGGTGAATTTAGATGTCCAGCAGTTTAAACCAGAAGAGGTATCTGTCAAAGTTGCGGATGGCTACATAGTGGTAGATGGAAAACACGAGGAACGCAGTGATGAACATGGTTACATTTCACGTCAGTTTACTAGGCGTTATAAGATGCCAGATAATGTTGATACAGATTCTATCACGTCTACTTTATCCTCAGATGGTGTGTTGAGTATTGGAGCTTCGAAAAAGGTATTGGCAGATTGTTAATGATATTTAATTAATTTTAATATTGAATATTAAAAAACTAATATTTTTTTGTATGTAGATTCCTGAAAAAGGTGCTGGAGAAAGGCCAATTCAAGTTGTTCAAACAAACCAACCAATTAAACAATCTTCGAACAAGGATAATGAAAACAATCAGAGCATGGAAACCGACCAGTAATTATTGGCCTTTTTTTTTTTTTTCATGTTATTGAAGGATTCAATGTAAAAGTAGATTAATTTCACTATATTTTCAAGAATCCTATAATAATTTTTGTATACCTATATGATTTCTAGAGAAGGAATTTTTTTTTGTATATTAATAAGTTATGTACACCAAAAATAACTAATTCTGTTCCTTATTATGAAAACATTATGAGACTTATTAAATAAAGTTTATATTTATAATTTGTACCATTTGTTTGTTTTTTATTTTTGAGTCGAAGTTATTTAATTAATGAAAATATTTTTAAAAATCTTCTTCAGTCGTTCTGGAATTCCTCATAGACACTAAATAAAATAATAAAAATAAGTCTATTTTCTTATTGTTAAATTCTCAATTAACAGTAACACTAAATTACTGTACCAATTTGTTATACTACATATTAATATGTGGGTTAATATAATATATGGGTAATAAAGCAAACCTCAATATTAACCTATTATCTTTACATATAATTTTTACAATTTGGTATACTAATAATCAATAACTATTAAATATTAAGTGTTAATACTTCAAACATTGGGTAAGATTAACCAAGTTTAAAAATTGCTCTTACAATTTTTACAATGTTTTTCATTGAATTTTCAATTAAATAACATTAAATTTGAATTTTTATGAAAATTTATGATATTTTATAATTACTACTATTGAAAAAGGTGATGATATAGAATATTATTTGATTTTAAAAATAATAAACCAACATTTATAAATTATAGTTTATAATCTTAGATTATAATCTATAAACCTTGATATCAAACACCAATTTTTAAAAAATTCCACATTTTATACATTTGATATATACTTGGTTTGTTATATTGCATTACGTCCATGTGGAATTAAATGTGTAAACATGAATTCTGGTAAAAGTGCGCGAACTGGGTTGAGTCATAGACTTATCCCTTTTCTGAAAGATGTTAATTCAAGACATAGCACAACGAATGTTAAAATACACTGTTAAAAAGATAAATAAAAAAAAAAATAAATAAATAATAAAAGTTTTTATGTAACAAAATAAAAGATAATTTTTTTTATAGTTTGATGATCTATGTTAAAATCATTACACTTATATCATTGTATGCAAACTTTGAAGAGATTTTCATTAGAAATCCAAAAATATTAATACAAAAAGGACCGAAAAAGCTAAAATTAAATTAAATATTTTGTAGAAAAACTAATAGACAGTTAATGTAAGTTTATTTATTATGTTTAACATTTTATAATTGTGTTTATTATTGAGTTATGTTCCTATAATAATTTTAGTAATTAAACTACAAAAATGGATTATTATATTTATTATTATTGTAAAAATTAAAAAACTAGCATTTGACATTTATTACTATCTTTGAATTATTACTGTCATTATTTATTAATTTTCATAATATGTCAACGATATTCAAGAGAACTATAGAGAATTTTGTAAAAATACTCTAAAGTAATTAAATAGACAAAATGACCACCATAAATCATTTGTACATAAAGACATTTTAACATGAAAATCAATATAATATACTTTACTACCTTAGAATCTCATGAAATAGCAAGACCAGAAAGAAACATTTTACATTATATATTATTGTAATAGAAATGTGTAAAATGCTGCATATAAAAAATTTAAAAGACTGTTAATTTATTGTTTTACATAAATTTAAACATTAACATTATAAATTTTTTTATCATTCAATCAAACGATTATACAATTACTCTTATACTACCAGATTTAATCAAAATTCATAGTATTGTTTTAAAATTTTGAATTCATAATGATTGCAGTTTGACGAAATCAAAATATTAAATAATAGAACAAAATAATAAATATCAAATATTCATAGAGATAACATTTAATTTAATATATATTCATGGAAAAGATATTTCTTATTGGGGTTTGATAGGCAATTAAAATATTCTCCAACTTACCCTTGCCAACCATAATTTTTTCATTGTCAAATCTATTGAAATTATTAAGCTACTAATATTCCACTTTTCAAAGTGTCCATTGACTTGAACTATTTATGAATAAATAATCAATTTTCTATGTGTTAAAAATTATCTAAATTTAATAAAAATTATGAATATAACTAAATTGATACTTCAAAATGCTATAGGTACAATATACTAGTACATAAAATACATAAAATTAAATTATCAAAATTAATATTTAATCGCTAAACAGGTAGAACAAAAAGATAGATGACATTTTTTAAAGTAATTACAGTAAAAATTACAAATAAAATAATGTAATTTATAGCACATATGGATATATATTTTATAGATATAGGACTGTTTATGAATATTTTATATATAATTAGATTACACTTATGAAACCCTATTAAAATATGAATTAAAGATTCTTATAATACAAAAATAACAGTATAAAAACAATTTTATTTTAAATGTGTAACATGATAAAAAATGATTTGAATAACTTAAAATTAATAATATTAAGTCCAAAATAAAATACTGAAGGCCATTGCAAAACAACAAAATGACACATAGGGACTTTTACGTTCACCAATTCTTGCCAACTTCCAGAATGTTCCTAATGGTCTATATATAATAAAAAAATACAATTTTTAATTAATAATAAACAATTGTACTTAAATTTATAAACTATAAAATTAAATTTGCACAACCATATTATCATCTAAAACACAAATGCCATTAACACCTTTGTTAGCCTCAAAAATTATGTATATAAATGAAAGTTATAGCTTAATATTATATTAAGTTAATGCCATTTATGTTTATAAGAACTGAGTAGAATGTTATGATAATTAATTAGATTTAATTTATGTTCTTAATTAATTTGTTGTGAAAGGTAAAATCTATAATCTGGATTATAATTTGAGAAACATTTTGTACAAGTAATTATTGCTTTTTTAAGTTTTGAGAAGAAAAATAAAAATAAAAAATACTGCAAATAGTAAAATAGGCCTCTAAATATATTAAATAGTCTTAGACTCATAGGTACACGTTTTCAGATGTATTATTTTTTATGTGAAATAAATAATATATTTATAGATACAAAAATGTATTTATGATATATTGATAAAAATATTAAAATAAAATAGCTTTAGTATTAAGTTAATAACAAATTAAGTTAGTATCCTTAAAAAATGAAAAATAATAATATTATTATATTGGATAGTAGCTAGTCTATTTTGAAAAACTGTATCAATTGTTAATTTTATAAAAAAAAGGGACAAACACGATTATTGATTGTTGACTGAAATTCAGTTAAATATTTTTGCTTATTTAGAGAAATTCATGACACAGATATATAGCAGACAATTAATATTAGTATAATTCAAATGGTAACAGTGCAATATGTTCTACTTAAACTAATTTTTCTTTTAAAAACAATAAATACATGAATACAAAAATCTATTGAAAACATAAGGAGTTAGATATTAGAAATAATACATGTATTTTTTAGAATATGATATTAGTATCTTACCCAACTTTGTTTCTATCAATAATGCTTGGCACTAACTGTCGTAGATATGTGCATGTACAAATAGACAGCAATAAAATTGTCAAGAGACTTTGTAAATTGAATATAGCCAACTAAAACGAGAAAAAAGATAAAAACAATATGCATTTGAGTAAACGGTTAAGACTAATATATATAGATAATCTATTCTTTGTGTGAGGTATTATTTTACCATGATCGTTGTGCAGTGACTGAAATTATATCAAACTTGAAATAAAACCGTTGCTAGCTAAACTAACTGTTGCGTACGTTGAACTGAACTGGCCGTTCAAAATTACGTTTGAAATCGCACATCCGAGTTTTAATCCATAACAAATACCACAAAACGATGAGAACAAAAATTTTAAATACTTAAGAGTTTATCAATCAAATATCTACGTCCAAATCACACAACACACCGTCGCATTGATAAGAATTTATACACATATTCATTGATCACACGCACGCACATGCGCACACGCATCTTCACGTATCATTGATAAGAGAATATTGAGTTTTTTTTTTTATGACCATGTAGCCGCGAAAATACGGAATAAATAATTAATTTTTAATTAATTATTCTTGATAAATCTGTTACGTGATTTGGTGGATGTCGGTTGCGGATTGGCGTAGAACTCCACGACCCGTTTAAGTTAATGATTTTCAAATAGTGTTTGTCTTAATAGCATTTCTAAACGACAAATGACACTGTGACGAACAACTTGTGAATCGTGTGATTCAAATTCACCATGCCCACGAAGCCGCCACAGCGTGTGACTAATAATTCGGATCTATTCATCACGCTCACTTGATGTACGAATTGTTCTTTTATTATAAAAATAATTATTAAATATATAATGATGAAAAAAACGATAAACGCCCGATATGTTTGGTAACCATTTAGATTAATTTTTGATGAGATCAAACGTTTTAATCGTTTCATCTTGCCTATCAAATGTTTGTGCAACGTCAAATCAACCAAATGCACATTTTGACTCGTGCACTCGTAGAAGATCGTAACCGATTTTTGTTGTTTTCGTCCTTTACTCGTGCAACATAGTACCTATAATAGTAAAAATTACCCACGTGTTGTTCATCAGCACGATTGATATATTGGTGCGATAAAGATTACGAAAACAGAATCAATACCGGCATGAAGTCTGGTCGAGATTGATCGAGCTAATTTTCGTTAGTTTTTCAACACATATCTGTTTTGAATCCCATTAAGAGTTCAATTTTTAATTTTATTAACTATTAACAAAGTTTAAATGACGTCCATATTTTGGTCAACCGACTCAAGTTCATTTGTTAATCAACTAGGGACCAGAATTCGAGAATCAACTTACGTTATCACTATTAAATCGCACTGTGGGACGTGGGTTTTATTTCCATCAATGAAGTTTGTATCAACTAGTTACCATAACAACGTTATTTTATTACAATATATTTATTTTATTGAGTTTATCACCATATGATTTATAGATAGGGACAATATTTCCAAAGGTTAGTTACATCGTTAGACTATTACCAACTCAATTATTTTTCTTATCGTCGTAAAATATTAATACTTGATATTTCATATTATATGCAGAGCGAAATGTGATAAATATTCGAGTATATTCGCTTATCCCTACTCACCTGTACTGATTAATTCAGCCACTTCAAGTTCAATGGATCATAGAAAATGTGCAAAATAATTTCATGTCGTATCACATGTACTACTCCCGAATAATGAATTAGTTGCCGTTTGTTTTCAACTGGGACAACTGTGTTTCAGTAGCAGCTTAGTGTTGTTTTTATATTTTAATTCTAATTGTTCCTATATACTTTAAAATGAAAAAAAAAGACTCAAATGGTAAATATGGTTCGAGATTGTCGACCTCAGTAACTGTTTCGAATTGGGGCTTATAACAATTATACAATTTAAGAACATTAATTATTTTTATTTCAGAAATCAATTTCTTGAGTCTTCTCGATAAACCCGTACAACTGGACAAGGCTATAGAAATGGTCGGTAAGTTTATTTGAATTTAATTTAAAATATCAACACCTGCACTACCGTAAGTTAGATTGTGTGGTATCAGTGGCGTTACTGGGTTCTGGGTTAGGGGAGACAAAATTTAAAATAATTAAATTGAACGGTAATATATTGTAAGGTATAAATAAAATAAACACTATTTTTGTAAATACATTATAATAATTGCATAACTTGTTATTTACTTATTTATCGCTATGTATGTTAAATCTATTTTATATTTTTTTTGTTTCTGCGAAAACACCGATAACTTGGTCGATAAATGTAGGATCTGTACCTAGGTCTTTTAACATTTTTCTTTCGGGGACCAGGGTATTTAATCGCAATATCCATAATACGAATATTATTCAACACAAGCTACGAAAAAAATATTAAAATACAAGTGTACTTCCCATAGGCGAATATCAGGAGGGACTTGGGGGGGGGGGGCTTAAGCCCCCACATAATGTTAACGTCAAAATAAAAAATTATGTGTTTCAATATTTGATAATTATAATTTTTATTTTATTTTGTTGAGATACGAGAATGGTCTGGAATATTCACGGCTTATCGTTGTTGGGAAAATCATATTTTGTTGGTATATATTGATAATCGCGAATATTCTAGAACTTGTTTGCGATACCTGTAAAGTTATAAATACGCAAGCTCCAAACCTCCACAGAATTAATGTCGATTACGTTTTTGGAGCGTATACGGTGATGGCCTTTATTTTTATTTTTTTGTTTTTAATACCTACCCGTGGTTTTCCGTAAGTGCGTGCTAAACAAAAAAACAATATACTTTCATATTATTTGTGTGAATTGTGTATTTATATGAATTAATCAATTCATTTTAAATTATAAATTATAATTAATTCAATTACGGCTAAAAGAATGTTTGATGTCTTTAATATTAAAAAATAAATATTAGTTATTACTAATTCCTCGTCAACAACAACACTAGAATCTGAAAATGAAGATTTAAATATTGGTTTAGAAAAATAAATTTCTAAATCTATTAATACTGAAACTAATGTTAATATATTTGCACAAAAAAATAGACGTATACAATTAAAATAAAAATAATTTAGTAGCTATTCAATATTTTATTTTTTCATGTTCCTATTACCAATATATATATTTGGTGCCTCAGTTAGAATCAAGTAGGAGTAGCCTCTATAGTTAGTAGGCGGAAGTGTCGGAAGCGACTAAAAATATTTGTTACCGCTGATGAATAAGACAAAAATGTTAAGCCTTCCCATAGATGAAACCAAATATCCGCCTATGGCACTTCCACTTTTCAATAGGTACATCATTAATCGTTACGGCAATGAAATAAAGAAAGTGCGTATGTTTGGGAAATTACCATTTACGGTGATAGCCTATCTATAGATGTATAATTCTCGATTAAATTATTCATGAAACATGACTCTTTAGTTACATGCACGCGGAACCCTTGCTTTCATCACGTACCACACCACGCGACCATAGGTATGAGTCTCAACGAGCTTATCTTGGTTGTTAGGACTTCTTGCACCACAGCATCTATACATATATATGTAAAATATATCAGAACCGCTGAAGCTATGAGTTTGAGATTTGGTCAGTTTCGTTTTATGACGTAGACACGTAAAATTCGTCCGCTAAAAGGATGAAAAGGGAGTTCAGTTTGATACCAATGTCGATTAACTAGTTACGACATGACACGACATCAAACATTTTCTGCCGGACTCATGTAATCCCTATAACTAACATAACTTGAGTAATTCACGAGCGACAAGGTTTTTAAAAAAAAAAAAAAAATTTAATTGAAAATGGAAGAATAGAGGCGACTATTATCATTATCAGATTTTTTAGTTAGCATCTATCTAACCCGCATTACTTAGTAGCCATCGAAAAAAATTTAATTTACTTTATATTGTCATATAATTTCAAAAAATATTCCTACGTACTGTTTGACTTAGAAAATGTAAGTATTATATAGAAATATACGTGTACTATACATCAATGGTTTTCAACCTTTATCGAATTGCGACCCCCAATTTTTATTTTTTTTTATTTTTTAATGTGACTCCTACGAATAATTATTAATGGATTATGATATTTTTTTTATTACGCATAACTAAATAAATAAAAAAAAATGTTTGTAATATGCAAATGTATGTTAACAATGTTCTTGTTTTAATGGGAAACTTGTGCTTGAATTTTTGGAATGATAATTTTCCTATTAGGTTTTATTAGTTATAGCAATAAATGCTACACTTAAATTTGATTTTAACTAAACTTATCGATAAATATTATATTTATAACTAAAATTATTGGAATACACGTATTACCGTACGAGTGTAAAAATAACCAGATGTTAAATCCAATTAAGATCAGTGACCATAATCGCTTTAAGTTAAAAATCTGTTAACAGATAAGATTAAGTTATACGCTAATTTATTCGATGTTATTGTCCATTCGTAATAATTAATACATTTTGAAATTCATAACCATTTGTTCATTATTTTTGAGAACCCCTGAACTATCTTTTTCGACCCCTAAAGAGGATCGCGACCCTTAGGTTGAAAATCACTGTTATGTACCTCCCTGACAAAATTCTTGGAGGCGCCCGTGTATACAATCGTACACAAGCGAATAAATAATGAAAGGATACATTTTATAATTCAAACATATAGTACTCCAGGACCATATAATATTTCTGATCTCTCCCTACACTTACAATAATAATATTATAAATGTTTATTTTATTGATCATTCATATTTTAAGTGCATAAAATAATGTTTACTTCAGCGAATAACATTTTTTTTACACAAACCCAATGAGAAACGACAATACAAAATTTTTCGGTTGCCTATTCACTCTAAACCGACAATGGGCGAACCGACACAGTCACCGACTGACCCAGGCCCGGATTAACACTATCGTAGGCCCTAGGTCCCTAGTCCTTGCAAGGCCGTTATCCTGTATTAAATGGTTAAGAAACCTCTTTGGGAAAGGAAGTGTTGAATCTCATGCAGTGTTAAGCTTTTAAAAACAATAATATTTACAACATAAAAATCAAATCTAAACTTTTATATGATAGCTATTATACATTTTTATATGATAAAAGTTTTAAAAAATGTTAAAAAAAATTAATTTTAATCCAAAACATTTATAATATAAATTGTCAACAAATTTTTTATACCAATTTGCATACTACAAAAAAATCGTAGCCACACATTTTCGTAGGCCCTAGGCACAGTGTTTATAGTGCATATGCGCTAATACGGCCCTGGACGGACCGATGAAACATTCTTCTCGAGAATGATGGGTTGGTCGGTCAATGCTGGTGCGGTGTCGGTCGTGTCGGTGTGAATATCATGATAGAAATACGTGTTACAGTATTTTGTCGTGTCGTACCAATGTGAATCAAACTCAACGCCTGTACGTCTAATCAACACTTAGGTGGTTTTTTTCAATTTTAAAATAATCACGGGCTGCACGTGGCAGAATAGATAATTATTATCGTACTTTTCACGGTCGACGACGCACATCGGGTACATGGCCGTTTCCAACAGTAAACGGTAGTAGAGGTAGGCACGTCGTCATACACTCGCACATGGATTTATAGTTTTAAGCAAACGATTTCACTCTGCAAGCGTGAACAAACAATATCATTAATAAATTGTATTTATACGAATAAATTAGATTTGAATTGTTGTATTTAATTGTTTTAGTATACACACAGTACCGTAACTAAACCACTCGAGGCCCGTGTGCGAATCAATACGTTGAGCCCCCCCCCCCCCCTAACCACCGGTTGTTTTTGAACATTTGACCTTTTGAGGCCCCATAATATACATAGTTCGAGGCCCAGGGTCCGTGGGCATGCAACCCTCTGCACACTCGGTTTTTACGGCACTGTATAGTACACATTGTATAACATCTTCGAATTGTGTAATACTTGCACGATGACGTTTCAATGGTCATACTAAGCACCTCCCTGTAAATACCAATTACTTAAATACTGTGTCAATCGTAAACGGAGTCCACGAAAGTTATTTAAATAAAACGTACTTATTATTTAACCGAGTGGTTTCGCCGCATCAAACCCATTATAAAAACCGATAATGAAGTAAAAAGGAGCTTGTCTGTTGTTCTTAATATCAATAAACAAATATTGTAGGATTTACAATGGAATTTACAAAACGATGATTGTATATTTTTTTTTTTTTTTTTTTATTTGCCTATACTAACCTAACCTGACATAAAGATAAGCAATTATTTTCACGGACGTTATATACATAGTATAAGCATAGTATATAGCTAGTATAAGCTGAATTACCCAGATTATATATATATATACATGTATTTACTTCTATGATTAATAGAGTAATGATAAACAGAATTAAATTATAGGATTATAAAAATTTAAATGTAAATTACTAGTTTATTTACAATATACAAAATAAACATGCAACCAAAAACTGAGTAGACAACCGGCGCGGATACAAGGGAGGCTCTGGGATCCCCTTTTAGATATTAGGTAGAACTATATCGGACGTAGATACTTAAAATATTTTTATAAAATTAGACATAAGAAAGACTTCATCCAAATCGACATGCGCAACGAATTATGGCAGTAACTCACTTTACTAGCAACCCCCTTTTTTCATTTCCAGATCCGCGTTCGGTAGACAATATCTCATTGTCTCACAAATAGCTTCGCCCCACTGTACGGTATATTTTAGTTATATTTCTTAAACGCACATTTTTTTTTTCAATAATTTATACAACATTCAACAACATGAGATTAAAGTATTAGCGACGTAAAATAAAAATAGTAAAACTTTACGAGAATAAAATCACGTGGTACCTCAAACAGACGATTTTTATATTCTCTCATACCATGTTATCAAAGTGACAACAACAACAAAAATAACAACAATGATAATCAAGCTACATAACACAACAGTAATGTACTGATCTCAACGACGTATTATCTTCTTCGAGGGCTATCGTCAGTTCTATCGCTATAATAGTTTTCCATAGCTTTTTTTATTGCACGGTACAAATTCGCAAAGTTCCCTGATTCGTATAAATACGATGCTAGACCAGTATTTTGACTTAAACTGACCATTTAAAAAATATATGTTCAGTGTATTATAGTTTTTAATACTAACCGATCCAAAAAAAAAAATCATACAACCATATCTAAAGTATGATACTTAAGCGTTTTGTAAAGAAGAAAGAAAATGGTTCGTTTTCGAAAAGTTAATGTTTCTGAAAACGATATTCATATTTTATACACATAATGTGTAATAACACGTAAACAAAATATTTTTTCGAAGTTTATTAATACATAATATAAAAACATATTTAATTGTATGAAAATCAAATCAATTCACATCGCACTCGAAAAACTAATCGTATAGCCTGTGCATATCGTAACATAGGAATTCTATAAATGTTAAATTAGCTTAACTATTCATTACATAACATAGATACAATGCTATTCGATTCGATTTCGGTTTTTAATCAGTCAAATATTCAATTTATCGGTATTGGTTGGACGGTAGATACATATTATTACGATAATACATGTACAACATGACTTACAAATTACGTAATTTACTAATTAAAAACAATATTATTTATCATTAATTACATTAGTTATTACATTGTACAGTATGATTAGTTTAGTAACGCAATTAAAATTTATTTTGAGTGAGGGGTGGTTATACATAGTTCATTATATACAGGGGAAACTGCACAGTTTATTGATATTTTATATATTAAAAAAATATCCCAACAAAACATTTTCAGCGCATTTTTATTTTAAATTGACGGTCGAAGTTACCTCTGAAATACTGATCATTTAAAACAATTATTTTTGGTGCAGAGGGTTGGATATTTAAAACTCCTAAACATAACCCTTGAGCCACGGTTGATTAGACCAATTTAACTGAGAAAAAATTTGAAAGAAAATGGCTATAAAAAGAATTATTGTATTCAAAACAACTGTGTTAACTAAGCTTAAATATTTCGTGGGCATTATAATAACCATTGAGGTTCGATCCCAAGGCGCGTGATGCGGTACAATACACGCGCGCAGTGGTGGTTAGGTGCTTGGTGTTATGGTGTTAATGTTGGTGCTTGGGGGTGCTTATCACATCCCAAACTGATTTTAGCATCCTTCAGTTAATTTCTTCGGAAATTGATATGAATTAGTTAATAGATGTATTTTCTAAAAAAAAATCAATTTGTAAAATAAACACATTATGAACATAATTGAGAAAATGGTAAATAACAAAAAATTATAATACCATTTAAAGGTATTTTAAGAAAGTATTGTTGAACTACTTATTTACTTTGATAGCAGAAAGCTAAGTTTCCCCTAGTTTTTTATCTGGATCCGCCACTGTACACGTGTCGTGGGATGGTGTTGCGCGGCGCGGCAGCGCGTCCTTTCCTGATGATTGTTGGTATCTGTGACACGCGCCAAAGAAAATGTATGTATGTAAACCAGTGCTTCTAACCTTTTTCAAACTGCCGTCCTCTCAAGAAGCAAAATATTTTTCAACGCAGCCCTTTAATTTTATTAAAATAAAAATAGTATACATGAAATATTTATAATTGAATAATAAATAATATATATATATATCTAAATATAATAAAAATTAAATGTAAAATGTATGTTTAAATATAATTTAAATGTTTTGTAATGTATTGATCAGTGAGATAGTTGTGTTTGGTGATTCAAAGCCAATTTTTTTACGTTTGGTTCAAAGTTTGTGAGATGAAGGCGTAAGTCTCCTCTTTTGATGATGTCGAGTCGATTTCTTTTTTTCGTTATTAAACCCATTATCGCATTGAATCCTTCCTCAACAAGGTAAGAGTAAGGGAAAGCAATTAATAATTTTTGTACGATATTTCACAGTCCAGGTTAGATTCGACTGATAGTAGACTGGAGCCAAAATTCAGATAAGCTTAATGTATTGCTTTGAACGGAAAAAAAGTTCACCACCCCCTAATCGCCCGAAACGAGCTCACCATCCTTCGGTACTCCCGAAGCATCCGATTTGGATCCCGAGTGATAGGGTCTAATCGCAGGTAGTGTACCAGTTGAATCCCGGATTTTTATAGGTACTACACTAGTTCCTGAATATTTTTTGGTAAGTACTTCATTATACTAACAGATTTAAGACTGTCTATGATCTATTTAGATGACAGGTATGGTTAAAAATGTTTTTTATATTTTTTTTTGTTTTTTAGTTTCTTTTCCATTAAAATATAAATTATTACAATTGTGTTGGTAAAAATATTAAAAATGTTAAAATCAAGTATAAAAATACATATTATATAATATAATTATAGCTATGTAGGTAAATTAAAAAATATTAAAAATTTTAAAATCATTATATAATATAAATAAAAATGAATGTAAAAGAAACTAAAAAACAAAACTATAAAATACATTTTTTGCCATACCTGTGGTCTAAATAGATCATAGATAGTCCTAAGTCTGTTAAAATGGGAAGGAAAATGTTAGTATAATGTAGTACTTACCAAAAAATATTCAGGAACTAGTGTATACCTAAAATAATTCAGGACCCAACTAGTGTAGTACCTATAAAAATCCGGGACTTAACCAGTGAAGTACCTATAAAAATCCGGGACCCAACTAGTGTAGTAATTTGAAATTCGGCACTCAATTCGGATGCAGCCGGTACTCCTTCGAGACTAGATAAATTGAGTCCGCGATATTTTGTATACACTTTAGAAGTGGTAAATTGAGATCCGGGGAAAAAAAATATTTAGTAAGTTGAGTCCCGGGGAAAAAAAGGTAGTAGGTAAATTGAGTCCCCATTACTAACTATACTACCTCATCGTAGTCGTTTTACTAATGACAATTCACACTGTTTCTATCGGTTACCGATTCCATTGTGATCAAATAACTTCGTAACGTCGTAACTTTGATTATGTCTAATTAAGATACGTATATAGGCATATACGTATATTAGTTTGTCGTATATCATGTGTCAGTTATCAGTTAACACCCAATATTGATGATAGTTTTTATGATTACACACAGACACCAGTGTACGAAATCTGAGCATTTTCACTATATTTTTCGTAGCGTGCATTGCGTACTGTACATCGATTTAAGTTTGTTAAATCCATATATTTTAAGTTTTTACTGAAAATGTAATAAAAAACACAATAATATTAAAATTGACTTTTAATAAAATTTATTAGATATTTAAAAAAAAAATTGTCTACCTTGGACTTAACCAACTACCTTTTTTTCCCCGGAACCCAACTTATCTACTGCCTTTCTTTTCTCGAGACCCAACTTTACCTGTAGGTAAGTATACTGCCTTTATTTTCCCGGGACCAAATATACTGAGAAAAGGTTATATAGGACCCAATTTACCAACTCCCACTCCTTCACAGCCAACCGGGGGGCAATATCGCCACCGTTGAGAAGGACTGATGTAAACGATCGGTAAGTGCGCCGTGGGATCGCATCTTCACTCTGCGAACTCCGTTTATAACCGTAAATTATAGATTATTTTAATATTCGATGCATTGACTAAACTTAATAATTACTTTTCGTGTTTAATAATTAAATAATAAGCGATTTATTTTAAGATTTAATTAATTGATTTATTTATGAACTAATTAATTATATATAACGTAATCAATCCGATTATTTTCTTGCTATTCATGTATTAATGTAATATGATTAAAATAAGGAATACGTTTTTAACTGAACCTGTAAACAAAAATAGTTTGAGTATTATTTAATATGCTGTATGACCGATAAAATATATCTTATCAGGACTTCAATCGTAGTTAAACTGAATAATTAAAATAAATTACAAGTACAAAGCAATAAAAGAGTATTTAAATAATTATTTATAATTTAATTCGAGGAATCAAGTATTTAACTTGTTTGTCAAACAAAAATAATAATAAAATAAAACATTTCATTGCCAGGAATCGGAAGGTTTCACCACTGTTTATTATCAATCTGCGGATCACTTTATTTGGCAAACGCCATTAGCGTAACGTCGTTGTCATTAGTTTTGCCGTTAGCTCAATGCGATTTTCATATGACTTCTGCACACAAAGGTGTTTTAAATGGAGCTTTAATGACGGGTAAACGAAAAGTTATACGTTAAGTCAGGCTTATAGTAATTTGTTCTACAGTTTTATGTTTATTTTTCCAGGAATGGTGGTGGGATCTTTTATTTGGGGTTACGTGGCAGATACCAAAGGCCGAAGATATACACTGGTCGTCAGTATACTCATGGACGGTATATGTAATCTGTTTTCAAGCGTGTCTCAGGTGTATCCGATATTTTTAATGTGCAGACTGTTAAGCGGATTCGGGTACAGGAAATATTTTTATCACCGATGTTAGAGCCGTTTCATGTTTTACAAATAATTGTTCAACCATTTATTACAGATTGTCCAGTATACCAATTATGTACTTATATCTCGTCGAGTTCCTCGACGCCAAGTACCGCGAACGGTATTTAGCATGGATGGGCATATTTTGGTCAATCGGATTGATTATACTTCCATGTTAGCATCGTAGTTATATTTAAATCGTTAAGGTATTAATCGTAGCGAACAAAATGTTGTTGCGCCCATCGAAATACAAATTATTCGTTTTTAACCGTTAATACTAATCTATATTCGTACGATGGTCGTATTGATTTCCATATATGTACTCGTACTAGTACGCGTAATCTATGTGGATCCTTGATTGACAAAACGAATATTATTATAGCCCTTGGGTAATTAACAGCTGGCATATAAAAATAACATCATTCTTTATTGCACCATTGCCACCGAACAACTTAATTGTTGAGAAAACACCAACAAATAATTTTTTTTATCGTGTTAAACGGTGTGTGATAAATCTTTAAACTTGAAAACGATTTGTACGCAAATCCAATAGAGGATTTAATCAAGAGCAACGAGTACTATGTGTTCCCGATTAGTCTTAAATTATCACCAATTACTATGAGTAAATGTCAAAGCAAATATACATTTAATTGATAAATATTATTTGTCGTTGATATTCTGATTAAAATAATTTTCTTCAATAGATATAGTATGACGTTACGGTATTATGAACAGTGTTGGACATTAACATAATGGAAATTAACACCATTGCTTTTATAGTTATGCATTATGTGATTTCATTTCTACTTATACTGTGCAACGAACACATGGCCGTATCCAGTTTTTATTTTTTTTTTTTTTTGCGGGGGTTCATTTTAATATAAAACTATAACGTAATTTTCAATAATTTTAATTAAATATAACCATATCATTGTTGTAGGTACAAATACAAATTTACTTTTTTAATTATTGTTCAAAATAATACGCTCGTCTACCACAGTTAGAATTAAATATTATCGACGTCTTCTGATAAGATACACTAACAAAATACGAAGAATAGGTACTAAAAATAACGATATTAAACTTGTCACTAAACATTTATTTATTGACGCGTCCATAAACCTCGATAACGATAACATCACATATTATATTTATTATAATTGTATTCTATTTTTGGCTTCAAAAGCAAAAAAAAAATATCCAAATATAAATTATTTTTTTTATTTTTACGATTTTCAGGATTATCAAAGAAAGTCAATACAAATGTTTTTCAATGTAATTTCGGGGGGGGGGGGGATTGAACCTGGAAAACTCCCACTGAATACGGCTACGAACAAACATGTAATGGAAATAGTTTTACGTAAGTGATTTGTCTGAAATAACGCGTTCACAAATAGGTATCTACGATCCGACAAATTTTCCAACAAAAATATATTGTTAAAACATTGATCCGTATTATATTTAATAGTTATTGCATTCAAATTTTAGTCGAGTAAAGTAAAATGTAAATTCATTACATTTAAATAATAAAAAACAAATTAATTCGATTGTTAATATTTTGAGTAACTAATCCGACACTGATCATAACCCAACGTACTCGTGTACACAAATTTTAATATATTAGTAGGATGTAATGCGTTTTTATGATCCAGGTATGGCGTGGATAATCATGTTGTACCCGTTTAGAATCGAAAACGAATACTTTTTATTTAAAACGTGGAATATGTTAGTAATCATATGCTCATTGCCGAGTATGTTATTGGCGTTCTTGTTGACGAGGATGCCGGAAAGTCCAAAATTCTTGCTCGCCAAAGGTAAACATGACGAGGCGATCGATTGTTTGAGAACTATGTACAGATGGAACAACAAATCGGATGATAAATTTCCCGTGAGTAATGAGTAAAATTTTACATTTTGTAATCCATTTACGTAAAGCATACACTTTAACAGGACTTTATTGGTTGTTAAATTTAAAATTAATAAAAAAATTTTCGTCGTCAGGCAAATTTGATCAATGGAAGCATGTTATGAATGTGCCGAAAATTTGACTATCGACAACCGGAATAGAGATCTTGTCGAAAACATTAAAAGCAGAATCGAATTACCAGAGAGTAACACTAAAAACAGGGCCGCCCTTAGAATCTTAAGGAATAGGCAGAGACATATTTAGAGTTTTGACACCCCAGATAAAGTTTTATTGCCACCCCTACACACGTTTTATACGATTTTTCAAGAAAGATAATATTTATTATCTATGGATTTTACACGGTCAACTTTTTATAATATTATTATGAAAATAAAAATTTCTATATGGTCGTTATACAAAATTTTTAATTATTATAATTTTTTGATTGACGAATTAATGATGGATGATGGATTATGGTCACAAAAAAAAAAAAAAATGTTGTTTCCTCCAATTCCAAAAAAATTTTACATCCACCCCGATGGTACCCCTATCCCCCCTAAATACGTCCATGGGAATAGGGTCAAAAATCTTGACGGGGCCCATACATGTTACATATGTTATGTACGTTATTTAATATAAATTAAACTATAAATAAAATTATTCAATTTATTGTGTTCATTTATTTTTGGAATAAATATTATTTAATATTATTAGTTATTATATTTTAAAAGTTGCATAACAAAACTAAAATCAAATTATGCACGTACATATTTTAATTATATATACATTTGTAGAGAAAATAAGTATAATGACCAATACAATTAGTAAAAAATATTTTTATTTTCAAATAATTAATACAAATATAATTTATAAAATGGTTACTATTTTTTTTTAATTATTAAAAATACTTTTATTACAATAAATGTCATTTAAATTCAATTAAAGAAATTTAAAAAACTACTATGTGCCTATATAATATCAACAGTTAAAAAAAATTTATTTTTCTAGCTTTTATTTCAGAAAAAAGTTTATTAAATTACTGTATTCTAAATGCTCACATAAATCACATTTAACAGATAAAATTACTAAATTCGGCAATCTTTCTCGAGTCATTGTTGTTCTCATTTAGTTTTTGATGATCTTTATTTTTAAAAGCTTCTTTTAGTTGTTACAATAGTCACTAGCATGGTAAAAAGAATCGTTAAAGAAATAACAGTCAAATTTGGAAATGAATTACGGATTTTAAAAATTTGTAAGCACTGAATTGGTATATTGTTTGAAGAATCAATTATGTTGCAAAATATTTTTATTCCATTGTATAAGTTTATTCCGTTTCTATTGTAAATATATCGTAAATAAATATCAAAGTCCAATGCTTTTCTAAATCTTTTTTTTACATATATTTCAGAGGTTTTACAGTTTTACAATGTATAAAAACCAAAATTTTCAAAATGATCTGATAATTTATTTAAATCGTTCTTCAATTTATGTAATAATGGCTTTATATTAATTGCGCCGAAAATTGCAGGTAAAAACAGAAAAATTATAGGATGGAAAAAAGGTATACATATATTGCGCCGCTATAAAAAAGATATAATTTATAGGTATATGTCTATTGTGCCGATCGATATTCGAGCAGTGGCGTATTTGAGGGGAGGCGATGGAGGCAATCCCCCCCTCCGAGAATTTCTAGATCAATACAATTTTTATATAAGTAATGGGTATTTTATTAAGAAACAAAAATTATGATTTATTTTATATTAATACTACATTTGAAAACGTTTCAAATTTTACACTAATTTAAATAACGTAAAACGCTAAATTTTTCATAACGTTTTAATTCTCAATAACGGTAAACAGAAAATTTTTTAAACGTTTAAATTTGTATAACGTTTAAACGCTTAAATTGGATAACGTTTAAATTATTTATAGCGTTAAACGCTCAAATGCTTATAACGTTTATATGTCCCATAACGATAAATAATATATATTATTTTGATTGAAGACCCAGTCCATACTTAGTGAAAAATTAGATAATACACAAGCGAAACTTTCAAAATATAGATAGATGTTAAAAAAGAACTACACAAAAGACCATTCTAAGTGGATCCGGCATTAGATTAAAAAAAAAAAAACACAAATATTAAGGATTCGCCTGATGAAAACATTACCAAAAATTTTACTTGTAAATTTTGAGCCTGAATTAAAAAAAAAGTCGCTCCTCCTAAAAATTAGTCTAAATACGCTGTATTCAAGTTAATACATTTTGTGATTACCTCATTGATACATATATTGATAAAAATGCAACTTTTCCCCCGTATCTTTGGTCATCGTGTAAAATATCAGGCGAAAGAACAACAAATGCCTGTGAGGCATTTCACTCAACGTTTAGGAAATATTTTTATTTACCCCAACCAAATATTTTTGTTTTTTATGAAGTTTTAAAAATAATGTAACGCAACAATCATAATACGTATTTTCTTAGTTATCACAAGTAGACCAAACTCTACATTTATGACAAACAAATAAATAGTAAAATAGACATAACTAATTTTAATATTAGACTTAAGTACTTTTCAAAATGTGTAGGATTAGTCTAAATATATATATAATTTACTATTAGTGTAAATACCAAGTATGTAGAATGATAAGTTTGATTTTAATTTTAATTTTGTTTTTAGCCATTATGATTTTTACTTGTACTGTATAGTTGTTATACCGGCGCAATAGATGTGTACCTTTTAAATACACCTTTTTTATACCAGCGCAATAGATGTATACCTTTTTAATATACCCTTTTTTATTGCAGAGACTTATGCTAAACAAAAGTACAAAACTAAATAATATACTTTAATTGGGAAGTATAAAATTAGAAATAATAACAAAAACTAGTATATTTTGATATAAAAAGAAAAATATTTAATTTAAAAAAATTATAAGGTTTTAGACGAATAAAAACGATCTTTTTAGTTATAAAGTTTATAATATAGGCTATATTTTATAATTTATACGTTTATATTTTTCTTTATCAATAATCAATAATTTATTACTTATCACTAACCAGTACGATCAGAATATAACTTCAGAATTCAGAGTTCATAATATGATTAATACAATTTTTAAAAAAATTAAATACACGTAAAGTGGTAAAATAATTTATATTTATTACTTTACCGATAAATTACTTACTTTATAATACTTAACAAAGTAATATTACCGACTTACATCACTACCTATAGTATACACATATATTATAACATGGCTTATATTGGTGCATGAAAGCTGATAACGACGTATGTGGTATTTAAACTGCGTACACTTGACACAATACTACGAGTACTCCAAGTTTTATTTGAATCGATGATTGTAGAAACGTTACGAGTCACATATTTAATGAAATTGAAATATTAGTAAAAACGTATACAGGTACTACAGGTAGTCATGTGTTTCTACTTATATGCGTGTAAAAACGTAAGTGTAAAAAGGTTTTGGAATAATAATGAATAATAATAATCAGTGTTTTTGTACTAAACGTAGAGAAAAGCATGACTCGTATACGTTCTTACTAATATCTGAATTTTATAAAATATGTGACTCGTGACATTTCTGCAATCATCGATTTATTTAAACAGTAGAATGGAAATTATAATTATCATCTACACAATAATTGCTTTGTATGTAAACACATTATATCAAAGGCATCTTATAAAGGGGAAAAAAAGAAATAAGCCCCCTAGATTTTCTGTGTCTATTATATATTTATAAATAACATATTATAAAATTATTAATTTATATAAAATTATAAAATTAATTTATGAATTTATCCCCCGATTAATAATTGCTCATCCCCCCCCCTTTAAGATCGGGTCTGATTAGAGAAATACAGAACAATAACATAAAAATATAATGAGAATTATGAGAAAAATTGAAAATTATGAATTACAAGTATATTTAAATTGGTGTATCACTAAAATTGTGTGCATGTATGGGCGTAGTCTGTTTCGCCCAAATTTTGTTTTTATAAGATTGCTGTTTCGTCCAGTCTAGTTTAAATAAATTTAAAATTAAGTTGGCAATGATTATTTTAAATTAGTTTATAAATATATTATTGTAATATACTTTTATTTTAAATTATATAATATTGTAATATTTGTGTATCATTTAGCGTTATCCAGAGAACACCACGAGGAGGCGATACTCTTTGTTTTCCAAAAAAAAAAATTGTTCAGTTTAGAAAAATGGTACATTTAACAAATTTAAAATTTATTTAAAATTTAAAATTCACAATATTATTAAAAAATCAAATTTACACAATATGTACAAAGAGATATTTCGGTATACGCTTTACAGGTTTTCCTAGATTCTAGATTCGACAGCGACTAGTTTTCTTATGCGTTATTACTTATTTGCAATCGATTTTATTTATTATTATATATAAATTATATATTATAATTAAAATTACTAAAGGTTTTATAATAGTTGTCTTTTCGGAATCTGTTCAAACTTATCATCATACGGGCTTCATCCGATCTAAGTCCGATCTGTGTTCGATCCAATTTTTACTACTCCGAGTCTTTTCCGAGGACTTAGTTCATATATATCTGGGCAGGGTCCATCCCAATTTTTAACATCAAGTTCAACATTACTATCATAGGTGGTTTGACATTTTTCAGTTGGTGATTCAAGCTTAGTTAATACCACCCACTCGCCTACCATAAAGTTATAAAAGGTACAAAAATGTACCTAATTTCTATTAAATTACCAATTGTATATTACCTACCGCTGCTAGTTGCCAAGATCAAGTACCCATCTATTAAAATGACACCAACCCCAAACTTTTTAGTAGTTCAGTGAACCACAAAATTCATAATCAGGCCGCCTCTGGTTGCTATACTTAATTTTAATAGTACACATCCTGCATTCATTGTAGAGTTGTATAGTTCTATAATAATTCTAACCTATAGTTGTAAAGTCATATAAATTTGTATAACTTCTTATAAGCTCAATTAATTGTCCGTTGTTCATCGCGAAATTTGTAAGTGCCGTAAAAACGATTAGATACAACCAGGGGCTTAATTAGGAATTTGTCTTATGAAGAGTGGGGATAAACATTTTTTTTACACACAAAATACTTTAATCTTCAAATATAGTGGTGAGTGGTATCTGGGAGTACTATTTCATCAAAAATCCTTGAACTAATATAAAGTAACACAAAATGTATTAATGATTTTGTATTAATGTATTAATGTATTAAATGTTGGTTTAAAATTCTACACAAATTAGTACCTATATTATATTAAAATAAATTTATAAAAACAAATATATATATAAATCTTTAACTTTAAATGTCAACAACCTTAATTTAATTGTATGAATAAAGTAATATAATATAATATTCATGTATTTTGAATGTATATTGTACAATAAATTAAAATTTAAAATATATTAATTATATTTAATAATTTAAAATTCTATGTTCTTACTTCATGTGAATGTATTTGATTTAATGAATTGTCATTTTCGATTTCTTATTCTGAGCGAAACGGAAATCTTATGATAACAAAATTGGGCCGAAACGAGTATCTAGACAAAACGAGCAGGGTAATTTTGGACGAACGGGTTTCGCCCGCATGGGTCACGAATTGACCCAAGTGCAGTGCCAGATCTAGGGTGGGCTAGAGTGTATGCATTATCGGTATAAAAGTGTGCTTAAGTTTATGAAAAGTAAAAGGTCATGAACATATCCCGTACATCTGTCTACGTAAGGACGCTGGATTTTTATTAGTCTCGGACGTCAAATTTTCTAGATCTGGTACTATCCATGAGACATAGGTTTTCCGTTCCTGACCTCCATAAGACCGAATGTCTTATGAAACGCGATTGTTCAACGTTATTTACATAATATAATAAATCATGCACCTGCCGTTGTTCTAGGTGACCTGTCTACTGCAGACGATGCCGAACCATGTGATCGACAAAGCGAAAAGTAACTTTTTCCACGGCCTTTACAAAAGCACCGTTGAGCTGTTTACGTCCAAGTACAAAGTTATTGCCTGGGTCGTGAGCGTCATACTCTTTTGTTCTTCCACCAGGTAATCAATTTATAATAAAACACGATTGCAATGATTGTAGTGCGAATTTTTTCAAACTATTAACAATAATAATAATGATAGTGAGAAAAACATGATATAAACATGATTGTTCTGTGTATTATATGTATAAACGTGCAGTTACTACATGCTAATAATGTGGTTCCCAGAACTGATGAACAGGTTTCAGTGGTATGAAACATTGAACAAAGATATCCAAATCAAGAAAACCATGTGCGAAATCGTATCTATAGTAGAACCCAACACGAGAATTGTCGAAAAATGCACCGATCATATTGATCAGTCAGTATTCATCAACATCATAATCATCGGCATCGTTTGTGTACTGCCGAACATTATCGTGCCGCTACTTGCCAACAAATTTGGAATCCGGTTTTTCACAGGTTTGTTTTGATTCGTGTGTACTCGGATATAATTTCGATAAATTCAATATGCTGACATCGTATAGGAACAAAAAAAAAAATAAAAATATCACACACACGTATTACTAACACCGCCCTTTAATAATCAACATAATATTTTTCTTTCTGTCAACAGTGGTGAGTTTTGTAGGATCAGCCGTGTCAGCCGCTTGGTTGTACTTCATTACATCATCAACGGAAAACCTTATATTATCTTGCATATTTGAAGCTCTGTCCGGTGCTGGTATCGGTTTGGTATACTGCATCGCTGTTGATTTATTTCCCATAGAATATAAGTAAATATTTCATAAACATATGATCGAAAAAAATCGACTAACTATTGGTTATTTGTTTTCTATCCTCAGTGGCATGGCTACATCTATAGGCACAATGTTTGGTAAATTAGGAGCTCTTATAGGAAATATTCTTACAGGAATTTTTATTGATGTCAATTGTATTGTTCCTATCACCTTTTCTTGTTTGTTTCTAATTAGTAAGTATAAAACATTACAGATTCCAATAATTTTTTATAGATCAAGGTCATAATTTATCGTAATGGTTCATTTTTACGTCTCATTGTCCTGTATATCGAGCATTATTAGGTAAAAAAGTTTAGACTAAATTTTAATAAATTGTACAGGAACGTAAAAAAAAAAAAAAAATTAAAAAATGAAATATTTGATAAATGGTTATAGTTTTTATTTTAAACTTTGAATTTTTGATTTGAAACAAGTTAAAAAAAAATTCTTTAATTAGACTATTAAACGTGACGCTTATAGTAGGAAAAAAAGCTAAAAATCAAGTTATGTGGCTTAACCTTTATTTCAGTGTTTCTCAAAATATGTATTATGGCGACTCACCATTCAAATTTCTTATACTTTGCGATACACCGAAAAAAAAAAATTAAACAAAGATCAAACGAAAACCTTACACGATATAATATACTTGTGTGTTAATATTTTGTTCTGGTTAGAAATAATTGGATTAAAAATTCTTAAGCTCATAAGTTGTACTCTATATAACTTAATATGTTTGCATCATATCAAATATCAATTTACATTTTGTGTCATTCAATATACTACGCGGCCAACTTGGACTTATCCCGCAATATATCAGTGTGTCGCGACATAACGGCTGAGAAACACTGATTTACATCAATGTCGCCTACAATTACTTTATACACCGATTGTTGCTTACACTTTAGACCAATGTCGAATAAAATTCAACGGGATTAAAAAATAATTGGTGTTTACAACTATTTGTGCTATTAACTTTATGGCTTACAATACGTTGACATATAGTTTACAAGTCCGATGTGTTCCCTCTAGACAGTCTAAATCTTGTCACTTACACCATTTATGCTGTCTACAAATTTAATTCCTGGATCTTACGTAAAAACTTTTAGAGAAAAAATCGGCCATTTTTAAGCAACACATTTTCACATTTTTAACAACAGTAATCGCTTGCGCCTTTTAATCATTGATAAACTATTTTTTCTGTTTTTCTATTTTTTTTTTTTTTATTTTATCAAAAGGTTATTTTGATCAATATTGTCTCGAAAAGAGCGTTCTATTTTGCCTATTCATGTTCGATAAAAACTAAAATAATTACTAATCGATTATAATATTCATCGTGTATATATTAATAATGAATTGTTCAGTTTCAGCGTTGTTAATATTAATACTACCAAAACCAGGAAGAACTAACTTTACAATATAACACACGCAATGAAGTACGTTGTTTTATATTATATTTTTATATATGTTATATTTTTTTAATAATTTTCAATAAAAATCAAAATGTAAATTCTGTAATTTTATGTACTGTATTATACATATTTTATATATTAGAAATGTAATATCTTAGAACGGCCCCATTTTTCCACGTCCTGATAAATATTCTATTTAAAACAATTTTAAGTGTCTTAACTTGTATGAAAATATTTTGCAAACGTCTTTAATACATCCTTAAGTCAAGAATTACATCAGTTGGTCAATTTGCAAACATAAAAATAACATATTGGGGTTTTATATTAATGCACTACGGTTATATTTTAAGAAATTTAAATATAATTAAACAATATATTATATAAATATACTAAATATATATAATAGATATAAATTATATTAAAAAATATTAGATAATGAGCAGAAATGTACTAGTAAATATATAAATACTTTTGTACGACAAACAGTTAAGCGTTCGAAACTGTACCGTCCGTACAGATAATATATTTTGAATTTTGATTGTTAGTTTTGTAAGTTTTGCTTTTATCAGAATTATATTTAAAATGTTCACATAACCATATTAGTTACATCATGTACAGATAAGTACTAATTATGGGAATAATATTGCTTATTGATATCAATCCGAATAACAATTTAGAATAATTTGAAATCATATTCAAACTCAGCATAAAATGTTCAAATCATGAAAATGTGTATTTTTGAATGAAGTAATTCAAACTGTTTATTTCTAGTACTTATATGAACAGAAAATATCAAATCAGAAAATAATTTTAAATTAAATGCTGACATTTCATGACTACTAAAATCATGCAAATGGCCAGATATTTTTGTTCCTGTCCAAATTTTAGTCACGATAAAATATTGCCATTTCAAATGAATAATATCTCGTAATATTTTTGCTATATTTCAGTTTTAAGATGTTCAAGGATTCGGTGTTCCGCATTTGTAATGTGTGCACGCGTAATTTTCGCTTCGTTTGCTATTACATTTATGTATACTAAAACTGTAGTTTTTAAATTAAATTTAAAGTGTCGATTCCAAAAAAAAAAAAAATTGTTGTTATAATAATAACCACGCACTTCCCTTCTTTAGGGACTTCCTCTTAACAGGGAAATCAAGCATATCGTGAGTATAACATCATTATATAATGCCTCCCACAAATCCCCGAAATAACGGGTTAACGGATTTACACGGAAAGAGTTTCTCATTTCTCGTACCTACCATTCTACCATTCAAGTCATATAATGATTATTTACATCATGATAATAACTCATTCGTTGTTTTCGAGAATGCATGGTGACTTTTGAAAGCAATAAGCTCTGCTTTTTTTGTTCACACGTGTCGAGATTATTTGGTACGATAATTGGCTTCTAAAAGTATCAACAAATGTACACAGTTTTCCATATCTCTTGGACGTTTATTTTTATCGAACATTCGAAACTTGTACGAATCCGTTCAAGTCGATTATTATGATATATTCTTATTTTGTGGTTTTTTTAAATATATATTTTAATTTAAACTTGTGCTTTTATTTTTTTACTTTTTAGATTGAGTAGTCAACTAATAAAATAAAAACGATGGCAAAATTAATCATGTTTGATCGACTGTTGTGATTAAGTTTATAGAAATTTATCGCAACCAAGAATGCCTATGAGATACAATCAACAAAAATGATAAAAACCGAGACATGTGAAATCTCAATAAAAAAAAAAATTAATAATTCAATTTATTGTTTATGTAAGCACTTGAATATTTTTGATTATTCTGCCAAAAGTATTTAAAAAATGTAAAATTAAAGATCAGTAATGACTAAGATATGGATTATTTAACAATAATAATTTATTTCACATTTAGACCAACGAATATTGTATTATAACTTAAAAAAAAATTTAGAAAAAAATCTCGATTTAAAAATAATAATTCAAGTAAAAAGCAATTATAATATACAATACAAAACAGTATAAATTAAGTTAAACAAAATTAAGCTTAATTTATATCAAGATATGTAAGCCTACTAGTGATGTCAAATAATAAATCTGATAATCTTGGAAGTTCTATGTTTAATTCTGAATCATCCATTACTTTGTCAACTCTAATATACGAAACAAAAATAAAATAATAATTAATAAAATGTACAATACAGAAAATTTATATTATTGTATTTACCCCGATAAAATCGAAACAATTAATAACAAGCCTTTCGTAACAAATTCGTTTAAAAGTATACCAGCCTTATGGCGAATACTTTGGTCTTCATTTAGTGTTATAAGTATCATAGAAGTAACGAATGATACTTGATCATAATGTATCCACGAATTGATATTATTTAACGAATGTATTATTTCCTGTAAATATTTTTAAATAAGTAAACATAAGGTGTAATCAAAAAGTTATTGGTATTATAATGTATAATAATATAAACCGTAATGGTTAAATAATTATAAATTTTAAGATATTTATGTAAAAAAGTACGAAATAGATATTTCAAATTTTAAGTTTCTAATGATCAATATCTAGGATGTTTTAGTAGATTTGTTTGTTGAGTTATAAAAAATGTGGAATAATTATTTATTATTCTTCTTCATATCAATAATCTAATAGGTAGTACTACAATAATCAAAATGTATTCTTTATCTTATTTTATTATTTTTTATATTTAAAATACTGATAATAAAATAAGTAAACCTACTACATACATCGATACTTTTCTTGTCAAAATCGTTAAGAACAACCATACATTCATCAATAATACATTGGGCCATTACTGTATATGATTTAAATTCATATGGTTTTTTTAATTGCTCCGGTAAATTTTCAAAGGAATTATAGTGTTTATTGTCCTCAATTAACTCAAGAGGTTCTGTAAAAAATTAGTTTTAAAAATAGTTCATAAATTATGTTATTTAGATTCAATCAAAAACATATTAAATTAAAACTGTTCAGAAGATATAATGTATCTTGTATATTATTTATTTAATTAAATAAAAATACGATTTTGATGTCTTCGTTATGGAGATTTGAAGGAATCATTATTGCAAACTGATCATTGTTAAGAAAATTTTTTAAAAGCAATTATTTATTGCTGCATAAAAATTTATACTAATACAAAATTACAAAATAATTTTATCCTACTTTTTAATATACAGTATGAAAGTAATGTTACAACTTTGCATAACTGCTAAACATAAATAAAATGCATAACTTAAAATTTTAAAATTCAAATTGCTGAATATATTATAACAAAAAAAAAAAAAAATTATAATTATACTTGACGTATTATAAAAACATTTCTAAATCTTAAAAAAATTTGTTAAAATAAATGCATAATATAGTAACTTAATAGTACATTTTTTCTAATGAATAATAATATTTATACAGTATAATTTGAAAATTGACATTATTACCTTCATGTATACAACATTTTAAATACAAGTTTTGTATTTTGAATATCAACGACTGAAGAGTTGGTGACATTTTTATGAGGACAGTGTTTTCATTTTTAAATAATAAAATATGATTTACTATACCGTCCAAATTATGAGTCTAAAAAAATGAAATAAGAGATTATTTATTTTATAATTTCCTAATACTTTACTATTTTGGTTATTACTTTTGATAGTTTTTGTCCTGCTATTTGTAATATTATACATAAGCAATGAATATTCAGAATATCTTTTACTTTCATTAATTCGTTAATGAACGACAGTATATTTTTTTCGGTAAAAGCTCCTTGTTTGAATAATTCACCAATAAATCTATAAAAATATTATTTCGTACAATATATACAAATTATTAATTAATTTTACTTGAAAACATACTTGCAATGGGTTAAAGACTTATTATAATATTGGAAATGAAAAGTATTCAAACTATTCTTGAAATTAGATGGGGTCTATAACAGATATAAAATATTTATATTATTTGATAATTAAATTAAAAAACATATATTATCAATTGGTGGAAAATTTATTTGAATATAATATGGTTTTAGTCAAAGGCAAATAAGAATGGTTAAGTTTTAGTAGTTTGGTTGAGTAATTCTACTCAAGTCAGTTTAATTATTAGCTATTATTATTAATTATATAATATACATTTGGGTAAATCATATTATGTATGAATAAGTCTTGATTTAAAATGATAAAAATCAGTTTATTTATAAATTAAAATTAACTATGCAAGTGTCAATACTGAGATTCATATTAAGCTTGAAATGACTTAAGACTAATAATTATAATAACTATAGATTATATTATAAAATCTAATATACTATCAAAAATACTATTATTATATTAACAAAATATAACTAGTTACCATATTACTGTTCATAAACTTTTCTTTTAAATTATGTACTTCTTTCTGTGGAGTACGAGTATAGTATGAGGTAAACATATCAAAGCTTTTTTGTGCTAAAATTTTCTGAAAATTAGTTTTAGAATTGTGAAGTTTGTTAAATTCAGCATTATTTGCCATGTATGCACATAACTTTGCGTATAAAACTGTAAAATTGGGTCTATTTAAAGCCTAGATAAGTAAAAAAACAAATTTAATAACTATTATAATTATTAATAATATTTATATACCTGAAAATAAATTATATTCACTATGTTTTCAAATATATAAATTGTTTTCTTTGGTATGGAAATAATTTTTTGTGCCATTTTATTAAAATTGTTAAAATTTATTTGGTGAACAATTGATCGTACCAAATTAAATATTTCCTAAAGTAAAATCGTTAAAAAAAATAATTCTAAATATTTTCTAAAATAAGATTAATTCAATAAAATTAAACATATCTTAAAAAAAAAATATACAATAGTACAATAAATTGTATTTTATAAACTTAGACATATATTTATAAATATATAATACACATTTTTGGTAAGATTCAATAATTGTTGTATATATGATTAATAGTATTAATAATTACATCAAATTTAAAATATTTTAAATTATACAACATTTAATACTTACAACTGGTTTAAGACTAGCTTCCATAGTTGTTATTAATTGAAAAAATAAATATTTCTGAAAATACAATTTTTTTATAAGTAACATAAATTAATACAAGGGATCCATGATTAAAATATGTAATTACTATTTATTAACTAACAATTTTAGGGATAGGTAAGGCCAAAATTTGAGGGGCAGAAATGTTGGTTTAAAAATAATTACTAGTTACTTATAATTGATTTAATTATATAATTATAGTCTCGCGAAGAAATATTATTTATAACCTTAATATAATTATTTATAAATTAAATTCTGTGTAATTTCATTTAACAGTAGATAGATATATATTTAAAAATATATATTTTAATTAGAAAACAATGAAATTAATTAAACAATACCTTTCAACTGTAATCTGTACTTGACAGTCTTTTGTACGACTGAGATTGTTGATCGTTGATGAAAATATGTTTAATAAGATGCAATATATCAAACACAAATTAACAAACCAATTTTTAGCGTGGATCACTGACCAATAAAATGGATGTATCTAATATTTTTGAACCGAAAAATGATTTCTTCATTGACCACACACCATGGCTACGTAGTAGTTAATTAAATATTTAATATCTTCACTAAATTCTATACTCACGCGTATATTATTTTAATTGTGGTCACGGAAAATAATAGTATTATTATCCAAGTCTGATTTGATAAATGATAATATTATTTTGTATCGAATTCTCGAATTCAGATGGCTGTAAACTATCAATATTCGTATTCAATGCAATAAAGTGTTGTACCTATATTTGTATCCAACGAGAGTGTGATTCGTAATGGTTACAAACATGCGAGCTGGTCATAGAGTAATTACTCAATGTAGCCAGAAAGTATATTAAAAGTTATGTTTTGACGGGTGGGAAATAAAATGTATTTTTTTGATTTTAATTTGTTTAATTATATCACGGACATTTAAGTTTTCAAGATATAATCTTGTTAAAAATATAAGTACTTTATACGTATTTATTCCAAGTGAGATTGTTTCTTATGTATGCCAGTAGCGTTGAACTATAAAAAAAGTACTGTTGTCAAATTTATTTTTAGAAGGTAGCACCCACCAAAAATGTCACTTGTCAGTGTAATAAATAAATAATAAGTTATAATTGTTACATTGTAAAACTAATCTGTTATTAAAAATGTGTAGGTTATTATTATACTGTTATAATATTACTTTATGATACATTATATAAGTAGCCTTAAGGTCCTAATGACTATTTGGGGCTAAACCCCTAGGACCACCTACCCTATTTAAGCTATTGTTTTAACAAAAATTGTTAAGGGGGTTCGGCGCCACTGGATATAAATAATGAAATTATAACAATACCGAAATTTACCGTAAAAAACCTTTACAAAAAATTATCGGTTCCGGTGAGGTTCCGATTTTTAATGAATAAAAATAAATGTTCCGGTTTTAAAATTAATTTAAATTAGAGTTTAGGTGAGGTTCCGGTTCCCAATATTCAAACGTGAATCGTTTCGTTTGTTCGATGCGGACAACTGAGACCTGTACCTATTCGAACAACACATATGCTAGTATGCCTGAAGGTAGGTTCTATCATACACACGTTCCGGTTTGACCGTACAGGTTACCTGAACAGGTATACCTGTCAAGTATAACGTTGCGTGTATGCGGCTGCCTTTAAACAATATAAAAGGAGTAATTTATTTTTGAGACTTAAGTTTGATTTTAGTAGAGGTCTAAGTAGATGGAGACGAGAGTTTAGTTCTTTTCGTTTTTGCTTGGTGTGGTTTGACCAGGTCAAACTTTTATCCAGAGTTATACCTAGATATTTGGTTGACTGGTGAAGTGGAATTAGTTTGTTATTGTTTTTTAGTGGGGGGGCATTCTCTTTTGTTTAGTGAAAAATTCACTTGAGTGGTTTTTTCGTCATTGATTTTAATTTACCATTTTTTGGCCCAAGATTCTATTTTATTTAGATGTGATTGTAAATGTTGAGATGCGATATCAGAAATATTATTTGACGAAAGTATTACTGTGTCATCAGCAAATGAGGTGAGAAGAGTTTGGCTTATTGTAGGTATATCAGCGGTAAATATATTATAGAATATAGGTGAAAGGTCACCCTAAGGAACTCCAGCTTTAATATTATGAACAGTCGAATAACTAATTTTCTGACGAACGGAAAACCGATATAATAAATCAATTTATTTGTGGGGATAAGGTGCGTAGCCCACTATCACGTATTACCAACTGTCACCTCATTTTGCATATTTTATTATCATTATCATATTATTGAACTGTTTTATATATACTCCTTGTGTGTTGTAAATTATGTAAACCCTGTCTGTTCAAACGTCGACGGTTACGGTCTGACGTCAGATCGGTTTTTGTCTCATGTACTTATTATATCTACTCCGTAATTTTTATACCCGCTTGTGCGACTTTTATACTTCCGTGTTCCGTCGAACTATTTATTTATTTATTGTTACTCTGTCGAATGTAATTTGAAATACTGTGCTTTTTATTATAACTATATCACATTTGAGTACCTTATTTAAACATTACTCTTCTGTGGGTCATTCTGGTGAGTGGTCCACCGCGACCAATCACATACCTAATATTCGTATTGTCCGTTATCAGGTCGATCGCATTGAGTTATGTCGAAAAAAATATCGGCGGCGTAAAATAAATGTCTTATCGTTGTATCTTCATCAGAGTGCATATCGGTCGTACGATTGATAGGCCGTGAAAATAAAAATCGCTGGTGCTTCAAAAAGGTGGAGGGCAAATAGTTCCTGGGGTGCGGGTATTGATGCTCGGTGGGTGCGGATGTCTGAGAATGAGGGTTGGTCTTATCTAACCTTATCCTCCTACCATCTACGATAAAACCAAAGAAATTAGATACCCATGTACCTACTAGTTATTTTACCGATCGATAACTTCCGTGGTACAATTTTTTAGTATTTCACGTAATTACTTACACATTTAACGGCAGTAGCATTAAATCGTGTTTTATTTCTGACGGCAAACGAATAAAAAATGGATGCTGACAAAGAAGTTCTTCCACCCAAAGTAAATTTGGTGCGTTTCGGCAAACCAGAATTGTTAACGCGTTCAACGGAAACTAAGACTGATAAAGTAATAATTAATAACAACATATTATAACAAATTATATTTAATCAATGTTTATTAGAGGGCAGGAGTAGCTTACATATTTTATGTATTTAAACCAATAAGCTGGAATGAAATTCACCTAGTTGTCCGATTTAAATTTTAAATAATGGCTTCAATTCTTAGTTTTTTATCATTTTTTGTTGGAATCATGATTTAATAATTTTTGTTTCTCAATTATTCAGTAACTCATATGTTAATTTTTTAAAATACAAACATTTTTAATGTATTTTATTAATCAACTGGAACTGAAATCGAATATCTGTTTCTTTCAAAATACAGAAGAACATTTTAGAAATTACCTGCATAATAAAAAAATTGAATTGGATGATCAGACCTAAATAGATTTTACTTCAAATTTCAGCTATTTCGATTCATTAATTTTAATTTGATAAAAATTAAATTGAACATTATTAGTTTTTTTTTTCTACGAATAAGTTTTTTACTTTACCTCCAAAACAGTAAATTAGTTGGTACTCCATGTGCCTACGTATATATTAATACTTATAACTTAGTTATACTTACTGTGTTAATTCACAATAAAGTCACTGTAAGTTATTAATTCGTTTTTTGGTCATAAATAATTTCACCAGACTAAGTCTACAGAAAAAAATGATTGCTCGTTGACCTCTGATGTAAATAATGAGACACTAAAATGCAGTGATGTTTTGGATCGTATGCAAATGACAAGAAAATGGGAAAAGAATGGTGAATGTTACCAACAAAAATTATCTACTCATCCGGGTACCAAAATGGATGTGAAAAATCTTAACGAGAAGTTAGATATGTATTTAAAACAATTCAATGCCAGAGAGGTGGGCATTTGCCCGATTAAAGAGCAACTATACCTTCAATGTTTCAGTAAGTTTTAAAACGCATCTACATGATATAGTTGATTATTAATTTATTAATAATAATGATTTATTAATTTTTAATATAATCAATATAAATTTATTAAATATATACTTCAAATAATGAAATATCAAGTGCTATGACACTTTTTACGATCATCATTGGCGTATCCCAGGATTTTCTTTTTTTTTGGGGGGGGGAGGTTGAAAAATGTTTTCCCTTGGGATTTTTTTTATAACATTGCAGTCAGTGATTGATCAAGGGTTTTTCTTTGAAAGGCAGTTGTGCACATTTAAAAATGAAATTTATCTTATGTATAATTTTATTATTAGGTACTTATGTATATACATTATACATGCACTAATCAATTGTTATTCGTAAACTGATTTTATTATTTACTTATATTTTGTGTATAACTCAGATTAATTTGAGGTAGAAAACATCTATGATGTATATTATCGAGATACGTGACAGGACTGTTTTAAGTTTCTAAAATGGTTGACGAATTTTGTATTTACATTATTGGGATTAATCGGAATATCAAAAAGGAGTAAAATTAAAAAAATAAAACAGGTCAAAAAAAGCTCAACGGTCTAGCTTCTATGAATATTCATAAATCTATAAATATATCAGTTTATGAAGTTTTTGAAGAACTTTTCAAGAAAAATATAATGCAAAACTTACTTAATTGTAAAATTATACTTATGTGTATGAATTAATGAATTAAGGTAATAGTAAGTAATATAATACATTAATTTAATTCTAAGACAACTAATTTCTTGTACGAATAAATAATACAAATTAAATACTTTCCTTCATTCTCAAAGAAAAAAAAAATCTTTTTCTTAATTCATAAATTATTTATTTTTAAAATATATTTTCCTGTTTAACCCCCCAATCATCCATGGATCAAAAACTGACGATCATTAAAAATACAAAAAAAAAATAGCAACGAGTTGGGACAATTTTATTTTATTTTTATTTACATTACGGGACGAACCCTTTAATACATGAAAATACACAATAAATATTAACTTGCTTTAAGGAAACGAGGCTCGGTTTTAGAGAGAGAGTGAGGGGTCAGTATTGGCGATGCGCATAAGACGGATAATCGGGGAGTTAAGATAGTAGTTTGAGGAAGAGAATGGTATATGGAATGGAGCAGATGAACGTGTATGGCGGGAGGGGACATTAAATGAAATGGGAGATAGTGATTCTGGTTAGTCAATTTTAGAGGAAAGTAGATTAGATAGAAATTATATGTTAGCTGATTGACGGCGATCAGCGAGACTTTCTAAGGAAAAAAGGTGTTGGATTTGTGTGTAATCGTGAGTTGGGCAGGATATGTTTAATTTATAAGCAGCGTGATGGAGGAATTTTCTTTGTACCCTTTCAATCATGGAACATGCAGAAGTGGTGGAAGGGTTCCAGAGAATGGTTCCATACTCAAGGATGGGATAGACTAATGAACAGAATAGAGTTTTTAGTGGAGTGAGTAAGTGGAAATCTGTAGAGACACGGTTTATGAAACCAAGCAGTTTTAGAGCCTTACAACAGATTATTTGGATATGCATATTAGGGCAAAGGTTACGTGTAAGAGTGAATCCTAAATCTTTTACAGAATTATCGCAAATTATCAAGGGGGTATTATTGACCGAGTAAGTTAAGTAAGTTTTATCAATTCATAATTATTTTGGACTAACAATCCCACTCTGTACATTTATAGAAGTTGACCAAATGGTCATTGAAAACATAATTCGATTAGGTTTAATAGTTTGTTATTAAATTTTTAACTGATAACTATTTTAACTACTTAATATTTACTTGATTTAGATTAATGTTATTTACTGTAATTATGTATATAGACGAAATAATTAGACAAGTTACGATAGAATGTCCAGAACAAGGTAATTTGTTGATACGTCTCCGTGACGAAATGAAAATCACCATCGATGGGTATCGTAAACTGCACGAGAGCGTGATGGCTAAAGGGATCCGAAAAGTATTACTGGTAATTAGTAATAAGGATATTAGTGCTATCTAAGTAATAATTTATCATAGACACCCAGAGAAGTATTTATTTTTAACATGGAGGTATGGCTGAGGCACTGACCTCCTAAATAAAAACGCCTCTGTAAGCATCATCTCAGAACTTAAAAATGGTTTCCAGTCCTTTATCTACAGCGGAGACTTACGAATTTTCGACTAATTACGAATGCGAATTGTCGTTAGTGGCGTAATTTATTCGCTTATTTAACAGTCACCTCACTTGAGCGCTCAATTGTGTTCGTATTTGGTTACTGTATGATTGAGAACGTTTCATCTTTTTTAAGGTACAACTGAGACCACTCGAAATGAAACTATAAAATAACTGCCAACCCAAAAAACTAGTACTATCGAGAACGAAATTCCGTGCAACATAGCAACGTATGTACCTATATATTTCATAATATGATATTCAAATTTTAAAATGTAATCTATTATTTAATTATTCTATTATTATACTTATATATAAATAATTATACAAATTTACCTATAAGAAAAAATGAAAAATATAGATTAAAAATATCAGTCATACTTGATATTAAAATAACGCTGTATGCATTTTATATTTAACTTTAAAAATTTACGTCAAAACTCAAATATAAATAATTACACAAACTTAAAGTTTATAAACTATTAGTTTTTCAGACTACTCTATATTTGGCAACTTTGCATAGAATTATAAAACTAAGCGTTCTCAATAGTCAAAAAGGTTTCGGAGATAATAACCGTTCTCAATCGTATTTCTACCCCGTACTTTACACAATAGCATCAATATTAATATTTCCATAATAATCTTATTATTTGTTGACGCGTTTTACTCAGCCTCTAAAAAATTTTAAATGCATTTTAACATCTAAATACACTAGATGATTATTTGTTTGATTTTCAATGATAACCTTCGCCACTGATTCCCCTCTGAAATATATCGTTGAATAGTACCACTGTAATGACTTTTAAATTCATATAAATACATTATTTTAGACCAGCTAATGACGTAAATATTTTAATTATTTAAACCGCAGAGCGAAAAACAAAAATCTGATTCAGAGACGATAGTGCAACAGCACATATCCGAGAATGAAAAATTGGAAGCAGAGTTGGCGGAAAAGATTAAAATGACGCAGAAATTAGTACGTGATATGGCCGACGCGCGTGAAGAACAGGCCATACGTAATGCTAAAGAGTCGAATGACCTAAAAGAAGAAATCAAAATTCTCAAAGTAAGAATGACACAACCAACATGGTACATTGTTTGTCCTTTACATTATTTCGGACTGTTTTCATTTTTTGACGACTATCAGTTTTTAATTATTAATGTTCGTAGTCAGTATATTGCATAAGTTCTAAATATACAATACACCATTTATGCCTATATAGTTCTTAAAAACTTTTCAAGTCAGTTGTGATCACAGATCATGTATATAATATATATATGTAATATTATTACATCGATATTTAGACAATTTATTCGATATAATAATTATAATAGTAATATTCAGGGGCGTATTAAAGGTCAATATATTAGGTTTCAAAATTGTACGCCCCTATGGATAAATAAATAAATGATGAATAAATATGTAAGAATTAGAGAAAAAAAAATTTCCGAGCAAAGCGAGAACAATTATTACTTCGACTTAACATTTATGTAATCGTAAGGGCGTACATATATGTATGTTCATGACATATTATTGATGTGGGCTTGATGTACAGTTAAAATTGTTTATTTTTGATTTACAATTAAATTACATTATGTTATAATAAAATCAATGTTAATATAACCTACATGAATGTAATATAATTTACATACCTACATCTATAAATCATAATTCATATTTTTGTGTCTGTTTATATGTAAATATATGTAAATGTATATATTAATTATTAGTACCTGTATAGGATATACACCTAATATGATGTACTACATAATAAAAAAAACAATATGAAAAAAAAAACTAATAATAATGAAAAAAACTTTTGTGATTATGTGTTATTATTGTAATATAGTTATAATTACATCACTGACAACTCCCAAATCATACATCATAATTTCTACATTTTTATTTTTTTCAAAAACATAATATTAGTAAGATAGTAATCAGGGGAGATATAGAACTCAAATTTGGGGGGGGGGTCATTTTTTTTGGAAGGACATAAAGATAATTCACACTTACAAAATAATTAAAATAAATTATTAATTAAAATTAGAACGTTATTAATATATGAAATTGTTAATTTTTAAAATTAAATAACAAAGTTATTTATTATTTTTAAGAAGTAAATCTTCTTTGTTTTATTTTTTCCAAATTTAGAAATAATATTATTAACATTATTGGTTATATTTTTGTGAATATTGAACAAAGCGAGACCGGTGAAGCGTTCCTCTCCCATATTTGGACGAAACTATTTCTTAAGGCGCCTGAGAGTAGAAAATGATCGTAGGTATAGTATTTTTTAACAAATTATTAAAACCTAAATTAACGATGAGCGGGACCATAGTAAATATATGGTGTAATATTATACAGACAAACGGGTAACGAATTGACAATAATCTTATCTAAAATAAGTTATCTTTCCGTCGAAGGTCGAACACTCAAAAATTTCCGCAGATTTATTATTATATTTATATTTCTTCGCCAACCATAGTCTATCAGTAAGTTTATAATCACTATTAATATTCTTAGAAGTTGGATGGAAATTATGATTTTATGAACAAGTGGTGATGAAGTTTCAATGTATATGTTACCGGCAATATATGATAGATAATCCGGTATTTTGCAAAATGCCTAGACATTATATAAAATACCAAAAATCATTCAGCAATATACATAATACAAGCTCTGCCTAGGTATTATGTATAATGCCAAAAGTGGAGTAGGCATAGGAAGAAAACAAACAAAATTGGATATCGCTTATTTACCAACGACTTTACTTATCGTTTATCATAAATGTGCGTGCACGATTTAACGCGATAAAGATATTAATATTCTTTTACTACTATAATAATAATTCTGAGGTACAATATTGAACGTACTAATTTATTTACAATACATCATTTTATTACAATATCGTAATTTTTCTTGTCATTTTCGTGTCTCGTTTTGGTGTTGCGACTATGCATACGATTTATATGAAGTCAAATTTTTATAACGAACTACAAATTTTTTTAAAAATTTGGCCACTAATACTAGTTTTTTATCTGATGAACAGTATTATGAATTGATAAAAGTTCAATCCACAAGAATTGGCCAAGGATTTTTAAAATGTGTAAGTCCAAGTGTCAAAATAAAAAGTGTATTTGCCTTAAAACTAACGTTTTGTACACTTCAAAATTTCACTTTTGTACAACATGTTATAATAAGTAAATAGTAGTTTAAGTAAAATATTTATATCATAATTATAAAATAATAATAGATAAAAATTAAATTTTGTTTGTAATATGAGTAATAATGTATAATAATTATAAGAATCTCAATTAAATATAACATATAATAAAATGTTTTACTATGCCTAAAAGAAAATTGTCATTTTACATAACAAAATGACTTTTTTTCCTAATATCGCTATATAGTTATTATAAGTTATAATTCTGGAGATTCCGATATAACAAATATTTTTTTAATGATACCTTTTAGACTTTGAAGTCTGGGTAGAGAGATATAATGCAGTTTATATTATTTTTCTACATATATTATTTCGTATACATTTTCTCTTAAATTTAACGCCCCCTTAAAACTTCCGCTCGGTGCAAATGTCTCATTTGCCCCCTTAATGCGCCCCTGATAGTAGTATAATACATAATATTGTTTAAAAAAAGTCAATGGGAGCTAGTTAACGGTTTGCAGGAGTACATCAATACCCCCAAACGGTTAACACTACGAACACTTAACGTATCCTGAACTAGGTTACTTATATATAAATACGATATAAATGTGCGATAAAATACTATACTCTTTATTAATATTTCGTGTATAATGTTTGTTTACAGGATAAAGTAAGATCCATAGTTTTTCCACGATGACCACACGGACTACGAGTACGTAATTAGTTTCAAGAACACATTATGATATTTGAGTTAAATGCTATTACTATTCATTTCATTATTTATTTTTTATTTATTAACTGTTTTAATTCAATATTTTTCTGGTATTAAACACATAGTTCACAAAATAAAATAAAATAAAATTATAAAGAAAAATTAAAATTTTTTTATTATATAGAATCTGTAAAACATTTTGTTTTATAGACTATGACCATGCAAACTATAAACTATGATAACTATTTATCCAGTATATCTTCTATGCACTATAGTAACTATTGACTAATGACTCGTTTCTATGTATTACATAATAAACAAATTTAAATATTTTATTAATAAAAATAAATAGTTGTTAACGATTAATTACGGTGTACCAAGAGTAAAAATATCAGTCCATAATAAAATGAAAGTAGGGAATAGTATCATACCAGTCAGTTTGCGTACACTGGTTTTTGGTTCCATCACAACTGTTCTTAAAATGCAGTGGCGTAGCCAAGGGGGGGGGCTAAGGGGGCTATAGCCCCCCCCATGGGCCGTGTTTATATGTATAATGTATCTTGATTATTTAATAGAATCAATGCTCGTTTTAATCAAAGGCTTATTGATGTTATGCCACTTGAAGGACTTATTCCGGCCAATTTAAATATGTATGACGATATAAATATTATAAAAGCTGCTAAAATATATGTCCAAGATCTCCATGATGATACCTCATCTACAATCAGGGCTTCATATGGAGGCAACAATGGAGTCAAAATACTATTCCAAAACCGAATTCTGCTCTTGATTCACCCTCTCATCGCACCAATCTTCGACCTAACATTAAAATACTTTTACAATTATTCGCCACGTTACCAGTTACCTCTTTCACTCCGGAAAGAACGTTTTCAGCACTTAATCGCTTAAAATTTTTTTTAACATTGCAGTTAGTAATCGATAATGAATTAAGATAATAGCAAGTAATATAATACATTAATTTAAATTTCAGACTACTATTTTCTTGTATGAATAAAGATTATATACTTTCCGTCGTATCTAAAAAAAAAAAAAAAAAATATTTTTCTGAATTCATAAAATTATTGATTTTAATATATATTTTTTCCAATTTTTGGGGGGGATTATCCCCAAAACCATTTCCCCCCGTGGATCCGCCACTGATTGTGTACGCGTCTAATGACGTGCGCCAAAATTACCGGTACATCGTCCACAACTGGTCGTAATCAGTGACGTAGATAGAATTTTTTTTCGGGGGTTTGTTTAAGAGTCAATTTATTATATTCTTAGTATATCTTAATACGATGTTACGATGTTTGGGGGGGGGTCATGGGGTTTGAACCCCCCATTGGCCGTATTTTTTAAAAATTATTCCAATAGTTTAATAATAATTGATTATTGATTTTATTGATTATAATTTAGTGGTTTATACGTCATTAGTAACCAGTACCACGGTTATCAAGTTGGATTGGAGCACGACCATAGAACATGTTCTATGACACGACCGCGCTATCAATTTAACAATTTGGTGACAATTTGGTGACAATTTGTGATAATGTGGTTTTTTAAAACAGTACAACATTTGAAATTATTATGACTATGGGGGGTGTGGGGGCAGAACCCCCCACTTTTGTATTCTAGTAAATTTTCAGAGCTCCCCCCCATTTAAAATTCCTGAGAACGCCACTGGTTGTATACAAGTATTAAATTTTAATACCCGGACTAGCTGCTAAGTAAGGAATTACAGGATCTATTATTAAGCCACACATCTGCACAGTTTCCTCAATAATTTCCTCTGCTTTTTTACGAGCAACGATGTTGTCTGTCACCCGCCCATACTGCAAAAATTTTGCGTGAGGTGCAGGAGCGTATAACATAAAATATACTATATTTTTCCTACTCGTGGTTTTCCTTATTTTGCAAGTTTGGCCAACATTTGATGCTGTCAAACGTAATTTTCGCTCTTGAAACCACTTTTGACACTCATTTTGACCTCTTGTAGATATTTCAATGTCCACCGTGTTAGTTTTTTTTAATATTTCTAAAAACTTTTTTTTCTTCCAAAATATCTGTTGTCAAAACGTCCAATAAAGGCTCCGCCATACCTAGATTTTTACAATTTCGTGAAATATAATATTTTAGTTTAAAAATACGAATAATAAATTTATATTCATAATAATAGTAGTAATTACTAATTACAAATATTATAATATTTGTTAAATTAAATATTGTATAAATAAGTATAATATTTAAAAAAACATTAAAGCAATAAGTATAGTCATACCATAATCTGCATCAGGTCCACTGGAACAAGTTTTTTTACCTTTACGATTATTGGAAAATAATTGCCGTCTTCTTACTGTATTTCCTCTGATTCTATTGTAATTTTTTAAATAGTTTTGTCTGTATCTTCCTACAAATTACGTCAAAACAAAATTTGTTAGTACCTACAACCAGTCCTCGACTTGGCAAAATTAAAGAAGGGGGACTCTGGTTATTTAAAAAAAGGAGCGTCCCCAAAAACGTTTTAATCGTTATAATTATAACGTCATGATAGAAGGGGGACGCTAAAATTTCTGAAAATTAGTTGGGGTTCGCCGTTACCCTGCGCCTCCCCCCCAGTCGAGCTCTGCCTATAACTAATTAATATAAAAAAATGGTAGTTAGGCACCTGGACTGAAGTTATTAGTAATTTTTTTATGAATTTGTCTGATGTATTCCTTAGAGTTGAATGCTATAACTATTTATAATCAATGGTAAAACTATGATAAATATTGAAGTACATATACATTATATAAAAATAAATAAAATATAATAAAACCAAATTATATATCCGTAGATAAGTGGGTAGACATTGTCTCATTGTCTCCTATGACGCTTCGCCACTGAACATTTAGCTTATTTTTAGAAATTTTTAAAATTTAATTTTTAAGCCATAGGTATGTATACGTACGTATGTGTAGACATTTAATGATGTCCAATACCTAGGGTTACCATACGTCCGGATTTCGTCCGGACAGTCCTGATTTCAAACATCTGTCCGGATTTGAAAAATGTCCGGATTTTACAAAGATAATCGTTTAACATGGTTATATTGATACAAAATGTTATATCAGGTGACAGATTTTCGTGTTCACTCTGTATAAATGTACAATATGTAATTTATTTTTTTTTTTTCATGTATCATATTTGTATTGTTTTAACATATTTAACCTAATAACTCTTATGTAGAGATTTTATTCATAGATCTAAGTAAAATTGTATTAATGAAATAACAATATTATTTTCAATTTTTATCTTCCCCCCCCCCCCCGTGAAACGAAACTGATATCCGGATTTGGTCTAAAAATATTATGGTAACCCTACCAATACCAGTTAACTATATTATTTTATCAATAAGATAGAGTATTAACTATAGATATATAGTAATATAGACGATTAACTTTAAAATTGTATGATGTAATTTCTGAAATATTACCTATTATATATAAGAAAGGTAGAATTGATTTCAAAATGAGAGGGAAAATGGATTGATAAAATATAGCATCACAGGATATTAAAAATAAATAATAAAAAAAATTGCTAAAATGGAACCGGCATGCACCTCTGAGATGTGGCTTGCAATTCGGACAGAAACTTCTGAGACCTGACATGCAATTCGGATATTCCAATTTATGTTTATTTTTTGGCATGCAATTTGGATGCAGCCTCTATAAGCATGAAAGTGAAATGTATTTTCAATCCAAATATTTATACGTATTAAACCGATTAGTGAGGCGATTACCGATACCAATTACCGGAATTATACCAATGATTAAAAATAAAATATGTAATAATACAATACTGATGGACAGTCGACTTCTTAATTTAATACTCAATGGGCAATGAATATAACTCGTAATTTGTTGAATAATTCAATTAATTTGCTTTTGATAAATATTTCTGGTACCATTATTTAGATTATTAAAATAATTTCATTATTTTAATAATCGAAAAATTATAATGGAATGATTCGATTATTCTCCTCACTACCGGCAACTATACCTGTACTATAATCAGTGCCGTATTTCTCAGTAAACCCTTTAACGGCAAATCATGTTTAATATTACATTTTTATTATATCGGGAAAGCACGATTGAGCAAAGACCTTTTTAGCAACATGGTTGAACATAAAATATTTTATACGGTGTTGCCATATTCACGTTACCAACATTTTGTAATTTATTATTTTCACTTATTATTACATCAATTATTATTATATCTGACGCGAGCCGTGAGCCGAGCCCCTCAACTTTATCGACAATGTTATTGACAAAATTAATAAATTAGTCCCGGAACAAAATGACTTTTTAAACATTTAGCATTGGGGCAGGGCCGTTCCGAAGAAAAAAATCAAGGGGGAGTGAATAATATGAAAAATGCCGACTACAATTTTTTTATTCAATGTATGTAGTATAATTAACTATATGTAGTGGTATTTTTACTTTTTAACATGTATATATGTGTCAGTATCACACGTTCTTAAAATTGACAATTTAATTATATATATATAATAATATTTTATATTGTATAGTAGTTAGGTAAATTTTATTCGTTTAAACACTGTATTACGAAATATGTAATATTTGTTTTCTGTAAGTAAAATTAGGTCCTTCTAAGTTATAATGAAACAAATCCGACTACCGACTGGTGTTTTCGTTGTATGGGGGGGGGG